ATTTCTTTCCAAAATGTGCATTTAAATGCTCACAAAAGCTTCTTGGTTATTAGGTCTTAGCTGTATTATGACACGGATGAATCAACATAAATGTATCTAGGTCTGTGTCTTACAATTTGAGCCTCCAAATCCATTAAGTACATGTAGATATGAACCACAACCGACTACATTGCACCTGTAGTGTAGAAGCTATTCCAATCAAGGTCGCTGTACATGTCCAGTTATCTTGGTCGAGAAGATATTACCATGAGTCAAGATCATGATAAAGCTTGAGGTCATCTGCATAAACATAAGTATCTTTTTAGAAAAAAAAATTATTCCAGTGACGGAGAGACAACTGTATGTCATTTTCCTCTCCATAGGGAAGGCAAGAAGCCACAAATTTCGAAATTTAACAACTATACAGTGCTGTAATTTTTATTTTAGTTTGTTAAGTTTTTATATAATGACGATTGATTGCACTGGTGAAATCCATTCCTGATTTCACGGTGTCAAATCTTATTGAAGTCTTATTTAAATTGCAATCTAACTACTGAAACTGACACCGCATAGAAAACTGGTAGAAAACGTTCTTTACATTACATGGAGGCTGCTGTACATCTAGTTTGCAAGACCTATTCAAAACTACTGGCCTTCCCCGATCGACGAGAAAAAATCAAACTTTGGAAGCAAACAATTTATGTTTTGATTCCTCCCTTGTATGTATTTCATAAGGAAGGGGTGATCAAAACGTCTGAAGATACAAAGATAGTGACAAGCCCCTGCCTGTGGTAAAGATTTATATTGTAAAACCAAATTATAGAACATTCGTCATCAACTGTAAAAGATTTTACAAGCAAACGTATTTTCAAACTATACTTATTGTTCAAGTAGTGTAGAAAAAAAGAATTGGTGATATTCTTTTAAAATCTAACCTATATTTTTACTTTTAAAAATGTTATTTGCATAATTTCTTTTATCAAGAGGTTTTTTTTGTTTTTATCTCCTACATGATTGTACAATTTCACAATTTGTTCCTGCAAATCCGTCACATATTTTGTTCACGTGCAATTATCAGTTTGTATCGAATAAAGGCGCTAAAACGGATCGTTATTTACGCAGAATTTCACCTCACAAATCCTAAATCACACTCCATATAAATTCTAAAAATATCTGTAACCATACACTTATATAGTTATTCCTTTCAGTGCACATATTTAATGAATTTCATTGATAATTGTACAATGCACTTTCATATATATATATATATGTATATTATAATGTATATGCAAATGTATGTCCATTCATCGTTCAAGACTTTCTTATAGTGTTTTGTCTCTCAGAAGGCTTTAAATTCACAGACGTTTTGCATCGAAGAATTTAAATGCTCGTAAAATTTCCTCCGAGACCGTTGAAGTAAGATAAATACACAAGCCACGTGCCTTATAATTTGTCTGCATTGTGTATATTTTGTGGAAGTGATAACGAATAAAACATTCCTAACACAGAGACAAGGATGCGCAATGTGTACATTTTTCTGGGATGAAATAAACCACCTGGTAACGTCAAATGCCCTTCGGTAAAATTATAGATGGTAGCTAAGCATTTACTTTCAAAAACATTTCTCACACTCTGCAATTGGTTTCCCCAAGTGGTTCAAAGCCGGACTTTCTTGCCCTGTGTAGACCCATAAACTGCATTTTTCACAGCATATAAAGATTTTCATCATCAGCTGTTGAGGTTATACCTCTGTTTACTGCTTTGTACCAACTGCCTATGTCGGAAGTCTAACATTTGACCATGGATGTCTGCCCCTGTATTTTTTCTTATATATTTTCAATATTTGTTCATTTTTACATTATGTCAGTGGAATATTTACAATTATACTGATGTACAGAAAGTCGATTCTTTGAGCTCATTAAGAACATTCTACCAGTGACATTCAATTTGTCAAAAACATTATCCAGCGATTCCTTGATAACGACTCCCATTTCCGATTTTGATTTCATTGTTGTAAAAAGATGAACTTATTGAGAATAAAGCTTAGGTTAATAATATGTACTGTGTATCGTTAACATTGGTCAATGTAGGGAAAGATGACATTATTGGTGACGATATTGGTGGTATGTGTTCAAGATTATGGAAAATGAAGAAGGCAAATGGTATTCGTACGTGTAATATATATATGGAACTTAGAGGAACCTAGAGTAAATTAGACATTCCTCGAATACATTACTTGCTGCCAACGTTTAATTTTTGAGAACTTGGTTTAATAATAATCCTGATGCAAAATTAAGATCTTCAAAAAATTCACAGTTTTGTTGTAAAGATTTGCGTAAATTACCAATTCCACATAATACATTTTATCAAAACATATATGCATTTCAAAAATACAAACAAACAAACAAATAATAATCTTTGCCTCTAAGCATTTGATGATCCCAACTCTGAGGTCAGTGTTTGCTCTGCTCTCAATTATTATTGTTAATTGGGCTTTTGAGTTTCATAACTGTTAATTATCTTCACATTTGTTGCATTTAAAATGCACTTTACTGTGGAACAACATGCACACTACAGATACAAGTATAAACGAACATCTTTCATATATCGCTACCCTTACGACTATATGTTAATTCTCTGGATGAAATTAAACCATTTTCATGAACACTTTCACACAATACGTCTAAAGAAGCACTTATTAATTTGAAATTTGAAATTTGATTAAATTTAAAGCTAAATATAGAAAAGAATAATATAGGATTTATTTTGAATTTTCTCATTCAAATTTATTTTTGAACACTGTTGTTCAGTCAAAACATATGTTAATTGTGAACAATAATGTTATATAGGAAACGGTCTTGGTTAATAATATCGTCAAAGATAGAGAATAAAATATTTTTGGCAAGAGTTTTGGCAGCATTCTCGTCCATCTACATTCTAAAAATCAATTTAACTCCTCAAGTAGTAGATTAAATACTAGGGATACACGAAAGATGACGTGATTTTCTTACATAAAGAAAACTCAGAAATACTACAATAATGCTGTATATTGAGAATTCTCATACATATTTACAGCTACCTTTTGAGGCTATTTTTATTCCCGATGTTTTCTTCAGACCCGATTTTTTTCCCTACAATTCCTCAGTAAAACGCCTTTTTATTCGAAGTTCACATAAACGCGATTTCCATATCCTCGCCAAAAGTTGTCGAATGCAAGAAAAAGTTATATAGATTAGAATAATTAAATTAAGTCCCTACATTATGTAAGATTTTCTGTTTTCTAAAGGATGGTTACAAGAATTAATTTAATTGGAGGTATGTTTACAGATGAGGAACAACCTTCTGTCTCAGATCATTGGAGAGGCAATGAACTTGAAAAGTTACAAAATTCCGTTAGATAATTATGATGCGAGACAAAACGAAGCAACACTACAGAGAACCTGCCGAGTAATTTATCTTCCGGATAAACGGGATTTTGGAATTCACATACATTGTAGAAGGTGATCATGCTGAGAGACAACGCTCTAAAACTCATCGAAACAATAAAAGATAATGATGGCTAATACGAATAGGTGAGCAAAGATATCCAACCTTTCTTATTATAGATTCCAGTTTTACAAATTAGAATGCGTCTTAATGTAATGGCATGTCTCACTGAAATCCGCAATGAAGTATTCAACTGCTCTGAAGGTCTCTTCTTACAAATCAAAATCAATGGGGGATTAAGTAATTGATTCAGACAAGTCTACAATCTGCCTTAATGACATCATCAAAGGGACTGTCCATCATTTTTACTCAAAAACATCCACAGTAAGAGGTTGGAAATGGGACTCTTTGCCATTTCTTTCGTAAGCATATTTATTTTCAAGATTTCTGAATCGGACAGAAGGAAGGTCTTATTTTGTTAGTTTTATGACCCTTATATAGCAGATTTTCTGGTAAAAAGACAGGCTTGTTATTGATTCTCAGCAATGAAATTGGTGATGCAGCCTGATGCACCATCTGTGGGCATTAGTCCAGTCAGGCAAATAAGTAATGCGTTGCCTGTGCTCAAAAATTTTCCAGTCATACCAACCTGATATTTGCTGACTTTTTTCCCTCCTTCATTGCCCCAAGATAAAAATATTTCTAAACTGTCATGGATGATGTTGACTCTTTGAGTACATCCACGCACTGTGATAATTGCTCTTACAATGTAAACACTTTTTTCGTTGAGACTGGTTATACTGCCATATTAACTGTTAATTGCTCTCTTGTGCATCGCCAATGCAAAAAACAACATGCAGTGGCAGTTTTTTTTTACTTGAGTAGCGTAGGTTGAGGATCCAATATTAATTCTTATAAGGAAAAACACACACTTTTATTCTGAGCACAATTCTTCTTCTTTAATAATTTTACTTATCAATCAGAAGCCTTAAAAATGTAATTCTACGTTGTTATGACCAGATTTTCTTGTAGATCATAATGATTTGGCCTATTTCACTAAAATGTTTTTGTTTTTAGTAGCAGAGGTATTCGCATCTATTAATAAATTTGAGTAATTTTATGCTCACAGATTCTGAATATATTCAGGAGTCGTGCAATAAAAATTTTTGTGCAGGTGAACATGGTGGAGATAAAATACAGCTTTTTGATTTGACTAAGGTCAATTTTACAGCAAATAACACCAGGAAATGATATTCATCAAATCGATATTTGGTAACAAATTTCAGTTGCTGTATTCTTTCTATTAATTGTTATATTTAATAATATTTCGGACAGTGTGTTAACACTACTACAACCTACCCCTACCCTTAACACGTATTTATAAATCCTGTACTAAGATTTTGATATAATATTCAAATTTCTTGCGCAGGTTTGTGTGCAGCTATATTTTTTTTAAAAATTCTAGATGGTATTTTCAGATTGTCGTACAAATATTTAACAAGTACATATTATCATATAAAATATTTATCCAAAATATGTCAAATGAACACAGTTTCAGAATGACATTGATAAGAAATAAATATGCACCCACTCACCTGAAATTGCTACATGGATGTATGACCCAATTCCCCACCCGCTTATGTCGCATTTTCTCTTTCCGTAGTGAATTTTCATTTCCAAACAGCTTCATAGCTAGTTTATTATCCGAGGGTTGAAAAAATGAAATAATTTGCTCCTTAAGGAAACTAGTGGGACTAGTCTTGTTATACTGGTCCGTGGAGGCCGAGTCCCCTGTCGGAGGTAATAACTCCTCTTTTGGAGTTCCATACAGGGATGTATCGTCCCCAACAAAATGCACATGGTTTACATCATTCTTGTAATTAACATCAGGATTCAAATAATCACTATAGATAGATTCGTCATCAGATTCAATTGTAATGGTAATTGCTGGATTCGTTGGTCTATTACTGCATTTGGGTAGGCAAGGCATGGTTTTCTCTCGTGTCTGATTGTTTACATCTAAGTGCATACGTTTTAGCTTCAAACTCGAGGTTCTCCGTGATGGCTTAGGTGGAGTGGCATTTCCTATTGGCTGCGAACCTTTCCGGCTATGTCTTCCATTTGACTGCCTCCTAAATTTTACAGAATCCGATCTTGTAAATTTGGGCGATAACGTTTCCACATGCTTCGTGTGATGCTTAGAGTCCGAATCGTTCTCTGATAGAAGCTCGTCGTTCTCCGACTCCTTAGATCGATCGCTTAGCGCACCTTGCTGATTTCGCGCCTGGTGATATGGTGAAGTCGGGTTGCTGGACTCCTCGTCCGAGGAATACGACACAGATCTGTCATGGTCCGAAATGTTTATCAATGGGTGCGCAGATGGGTTCCGAAGACTGGACATGCTGGCAGAACGTGCCGGGGGCACCTGAATTAAGTAAAAGCATGATTGAAATTATTTTTAAAATTTAGTTCTTTCAATAAAGTTCATTGTTGTAACCGGTCTTTTTTTAGAATAAATATGACGAAAGCAGGTGCTTTAGCTTCCATCATAAATCATTCAATGAGCTTTGAATTTTTCGAAAATTAAACACATCACACAATGATTATATACGTCAACAGAATGTGTACAATGAATATACCATATTCAATCAATACATTTTCTTAAATGTCAAATAAAAATGGCTGACTTGCGTTTTCCTTATCGGAAAAAAATATATATTGTTAATGGGTTTTACCAAAACAATGCCAGCATAAGGTTCGGGGTTATATTCTCGGTTGGAACAGTAAATTAAACTTGAATGATTTTGACCCGATGTTTCGAGAGCTAATGTTCTGATTTTGCTGCGGGAGAAACAAGCGGTAATTGAAAAAGAACTGACAATGAGAGGAAGATTAATTATCCGTTTAATTCTGTGTTCAGTAGCTTTCCAGTATAATATTATTCGTTGAGCGCTTCTTCCATGTCTAAGACTATGTCAAACTGCATTACGGGGATATAGGTTTTCAGCATATCTGTAATATCCTTGTCGACAAATTTGTTTTCATAATGAAAATAACAAGTGAATGATATTGAAAGTTCACAGTGATATACAGCTCTCATTAAATTGAACAATGTGGGCCATACAATTCATTCATGGGTAATATGTAGTTTGTTAAGCTTTTTTCCTACATTTCATCAATTCCTGAGTTCTTTGTACGACTTTTCTACCTTTATACATCCATTCCTCACGATTAATTAAAAACTAGGTTTTTAATATCATAGAAACTTCCTCTTCAATAAAAAATGAACTCGGAAATTTTCGTATCTTGTGATTGGTCATCAAGCAAACTAGTAGGTTAAAAATCACTGATTCTACACATAAATACTCTGAAGTTGATATTACAAGGATGCTGAAGTTCCTCATTAACAACATCTATGTAGGTCTCCCAACAAACTGTTGGAATTTTGATGGGCACTAATTGTGCCGACCTTTTTTTATATTCCAGTGAAGCAGAATTTATTCAAAAACTTCAACATGAAAAGAAGAAAACGCTTGCTGTGGCCTTCACATTCAGATATAGTGAAGATATTTTATTAATTTACAACATTTACTTCCATTCATACATCGATTCAATGTATCCCAGTGAACTCGAAATAAAAGAAACTACAGAGTCTGCCACATCTGTTTCATATTTGGATGTTTTACTGACTATAGACGATAAGCGCCAACTAACAGCTAAATCGTATTTACGTTACCCAACTTATTCAATACTCCAGAACGTGATCTGAGTACGACTAATTTTTAAACCGAAACAGACTACTGACAGATAAGTTGATGTTACAAGGATTTCAACAAGCTCGTTCAAAGTCAGTATTTCGTAAATTCTATGGTCTTTAAACGACCTTGTTAGCAAATATAACCTACCATTGCGTATGTTGGCTGACATGTTTCATACCCATTGTTAGGCCTTTGTTTGTACATACTAAATTTGACATCGTAATATTCTACCTGATCATAACACAGGTCTCGCGGAGGTGTTACCGGTCGACAGGGGATGCCTACTCCCCCTATGCATCTGGTCCCACGGTATCCCACCTCTGAAATTTCCGGGGGTTCGTGATTGATGCCCTATTCATAGTTTTGTATTATTTGTAGATTTTTTTTAGATCGTGCACTGTTCGTCTCTTCAACTTTTTTATAAAGTATTATTGCTTAAAAATCAAATTACTTCTTAAGAAATGTCATTTCGTTGAAAATAAAATGATTATGAAAGAAAGGATAGAATGATTGATATTTCGATGTTTGACAGCTACAAAATGTGCCATATAATTTTATTTTAGTGTAAAGAAGGTAAGCGATGGGAAAACAGGGAGGGGGAGTTTTCATTTCAAAAGAAGATACATTTTATTCATTATGGTGCACGTCTGCAAAAACAAAATTACAGCTATAGAAAAGCCGTTGTCAATCCACGTTTGTCGTGTTTGTTATCTATAATAAGTAATTATAGTGGAAATTTGCAACATCATGCGGTGAAAATACATTTCAGTGTCTCAAAATATTACGAAAAAACGGAGACAGATCTCTATCTACTACCTAAGTACATGTAGATGTTTCTATAATAATGGCTCCATATTACGCCATTGTTAAAAATCATCAGTCGAATCTCAACTCCCAATATCATGGGAGTCCATAAAGCAATTTTTTGACATCTGAGAAATTATGTCATCCCGTAAATATGCATCTGATAATTAAAGAACAATTGCTCGTACATTCTATAACCTACTTTAAAAACATAAAAGGTAAAGTTTTAAAAAATTGTAATAATTGTATTCATGATATTAAATTGCCATCCCCTAGTGATATATCCTGTCAGTGTAAATCACGTGACTGTGAGGTCAATAGAGGTTGCCACGGTGTTGATGACGGATAAATGACAGTATTTCTTCTCATCGAAAGTCAAAGAAAGGCCAATTGTCATCAGCACGCACCTGCAATTTATTTACATCCAAATTTTACATACGCCATATGACAGCAACTAATGTGATTGAGCAAGTATTTCATTCTTAAAGGCAATATACAGATATTTATAAATTTCTGACAAGTAATTCGCGATATCATTTTTTTTAATTAACAAGTATATTTGAAACAGATGATTGCAAGTTACTGATTAATTATTGAAAACTATTATCTTTAAAATCTAAGGGCAAATGTTCGAATAAAATGGATGATCATTCAGTGTAAGAAAGTTTACTCTTTGTGAATAAATAACACATTATTTTTTCCAAAATTAAAATATCTTTTGCTCAAATAGGTGCTCTCTCACTAAAGAAGTAAAATCTGTTTAGCTAAACAACCATGTGTTTAAATTACCAAGCTAAATAATTTTGGAAAAATGTAATTTTAGAGTTCAATATCATTTTTGAAAAGTTTTGAAATATAATTCTTTTGTTTCTGAAAAGTTTCTGGGAACAGTTTCAGGAGTCTAATTTTACATTTTAGATTATAAAGAACTTCCTAATCAGATCTCAATTCAAAGAAATATTGAAAAATAATATAGTATGGAACGCCATAGCTGCCTGAAGGTCATTTTCATATTATATGAGGTGGAATAACCTTTATGTGAAGTGGTGAAGTCATTATATATAGTGGTAAAATCATTATATTCAATGAAAACTTTATTATATGCAGTGGTTTTATCATTATATACAGTGATAAAATCATTATATTCATTGAAAACTTTATTATATGCAGTGGTTTTATCATAATATACAGTGATAAAATCATTATTTTCATTGATAACTTTATTATATGCAGTGGTTTTATCATTATATTCAGTGGCAATGTCATTATATGTAGTGGTTAAATAATGTAATGAAGTGATAATATCGATACATTATGTTGTAAAATCATTATATGCAGTGGTTCTTCCATTTTATACATTACTGATATCTTTCTGTGATGTGATGAATTCAATATATACAGTACAAACATAATTTGTGTGATAAAGCAATCATTACATTGTATGAAACCCGCTGCATGTGGAGTGCCAAGTTAATTTCATTCAGTGCGACACCTTTACATGAAGTGAAAAATCTATTATGTGCAGTACTAACATCATTATATTATATAGTAAAATTATTATATATATTCCTTAAATCATGCTTTGCAGTAGTAACATCTTTATATGAGGTGGTTAATTAATTATATGATGTTGTTAATTTGTTATATGACGTGCTCAAATCTTTATATGCATTAGACGTTTCATGTTATGCAGTGGTAACTTCTTTATCATCATCTAAACTGGTCCTTTTATTTAAAAAAAATGCGCGGAGTTCCAGTTTAAAGAGTGTTTGAAAAGCCGTGGCAAATTAAAAGCCGGGACTATTCGAGATTTTTCTAATTTCTGATTCTACTATACAGCTTCCTGATTTTATCATCTGTGCTGAAATTTTAAGACTCATTTTTATAGGTTAATGTGTATTCGCTGTAAAAATTGCATTTAATTTTAAAATACTTAGTAATTTAGATTTTCTTGGTGATTGTTGATTTCCAAGTTCAGTGGTGGATCCAGGAATCTTGAAAAGGGGGGCCCGACAATTAAGTTTTTGGTCGAGGTAGGTAGCCCACAGCCAAACCAAAAAACAATTGATTTATTAAATCTTATGTATATTTTGGACACAAGGGGGGGGGGGGCGGCGGCGGACCCCATAGGCCCTCTCTGAATCCGCCCGTGAGGTTGGTAAATCGAGTAGGCAATCAAGTAGACATTTTACGTGTTTTGTTTGTTTGTTTATTGTTTTTTGTTTGTTTGTTTGTTGTTTTTTTTTTTGCCATATTTGACAGAAAGCTAATAAACTTTTAAATTATTCTGATGTTAAAAATTATTCATTCTTTGAAAGGCATTTTTTGAGTGAAATGACACGTTTAAGAAAAACCGGTTCTCATAGGCGTCGGAACCGGGGGGGGGGGGGGGCTATTGCCCCCCCTTTTTTTTTACAAAGGTAGACATAATATAGGCATTGAAAATTCGGACGTAGGTCTAGCCTCCCCCCTCCCCACTTTCTACAGGCACGATTCATTGTAGTGAAAGAAGGGTAATTGGTAGTATAGGAAATAGGATTTTCGGGTTTGGAGAAAGAACAATTTTCCTTTTTTTTTTTGCTTGTCAATTTTTTTTCAGGTTTGATTTTTTTTTCTATTTCAATTAGCCACCCCACTATCAATTTCCTTCCGACGCCAATGGTTCATTAAAATCGGATTTGATCTCTCGGAAGTCAAACATAAAAAATCCGAAATACTTATTCATTATCTACATGCCATTTGTTAAAATATAAATTAATTAAAGAATTATCACATATACATGTAATTATAGGACTATTAATGCAAAGCCTTGTGTCAAACTTTAATCACGCGTAAGTTGCTTCGTTTAAGGATACCGATCCTC